GATATCTTACTATTATTGTCTGTAGGTTTAATTTTGCGTAAGATGTTGGCAAGTTCCTCACTTCACAACCTCTATTTTATTCGAACCTACGCTTGAAAATCATCACGCGCTAAGTAAAACTTAGTGAGACAGAAATATAACTAAAGTGATATAAAACCATAAATTTCATAAAATATAAGAAATATATTGTAATTTAAATAAAAACATTAAATTTCCAACTGGGTTAGTCAAGCTGTTTTTCCTTATAAAAACCTAAAAATCATCATCTCATGATTTTATTAAAAATCATGTAAGTCATCATCAAATATCATAAATAACTTTTTTCTTTTCATTCGAACATATTTCCTATCTTTCTTTTCTATTCTATGTTCCTTTCTTTTATATATTGTCATAACTTTCACACTTATTGCTATAGCCCAATGTATATGTAAGAGAATATATGGTACCTGAGTTTAAGGTGTGCACTAGGCACAACACGGTGCCGAATCATAACTGAAACTGCGATATGATGCATTTCAGTGCAATCATAACCTAAGCACCAATAGTGTTGAACATTGGTACACGAATGTACCAAAGCTGAACTGATAAGTGATAACTAAAAAGTACTCAAGAAATGGCATGCCAAATGTACTTATGACTCTCAATGCAACATACAATGAGCTTATATATATCATCATAGAATCATTTATTAATCTGTGTCTGCTAACTGTAAAATATCTGATAACTGTAATCATTTGATATCTATAAATATCTTATAACTGAAAATCATCCGATAACTGTAAACATTTAGAATTCGTCATCATAAATATCATACTTTGGTAGTTCATACCCAAAATCATTCATAGAACTTGATGAAAAGTTTTATAGAAATATTCCATACTGAAAATTTACAAATCATACTAAAAAATAAAACGAGATCAACTTATCGCAAGTCGTCCTTGACTATAATAATCAAATAAACTAACTGCACTCACTTTAACACTTTATTTTTTTTTATCAAAATATAAGCATCAATAAGATTTATATTTAAATCATTTGTCTTCCACTACTTTCAATGCACAATTTATCAAAATTCCATATTCTGGTAGTTTACACTACCTTTAAAAAAATATTATTCTATATTAATATACTGTAAAATTATTTTGTTTGCACCAATGAAAACTAGACTAGATTAATAATCTAACCATATAATGAACTCCATCTAGTTCCACTTGTAAAATTTATAGAAAATTTTCAAAGTTAACTGACATAAGTTGTTTCGAGCAGAATTTGCTGCCCTGTTTTCTGACCTATCACCTATTACAAATTCATATCTTTTTGTATACCCATCGAAATCAATTTTCGTTTGTTCTAAACAAAACTATATTTATATACAAATCCAATTATATAATATTCATTCTTCAATTATTTTTTTAGAATTTCTGGTGATGTTCTAAACTTTCTCTATTCAGAACATAATATCTAAGCAGATTTCACCAACTTGCATCATTAACTTATTCACTAAATCTATAAGTTTAGCAATTGAACATATAAGATTGAAGTACACTTCTCATGCACTAGTATTCACTTCTTAACGTAACTCCGACATTGGCTCATCGCAAGCCAATGTTTGTTTCGATAACATAAATACAAGTTAAATGCACTCACATGGTCTCCTTAGCTGCAATCTTCCTTAGAATTTCCCATTTCATCCTTAAGCTTTTCCTTAGCTTTAATAATATTAGATCTTTATTTCAAGCACTAAATCTAAATGAACATCATTACCAAACATATACAAATTGAAACCAAATTTTAGAATATTATTAACATAGGCATACTTTGAAAAATAAATTCCTAGCAAATTTTCTGATGCTGATTCTATATAATTTTCATGTCACAACATAAATGTTGACCTTAATACTTCTAATTGGCCACTCAAGTTCCTTTTTATCTCAACTTCACATAACATTTTCACTTAAGCTCCCAACTTTTCCATATTTGTGATTTAAACTTCAATTTTTACAAGCTTTATAAAATAATCCAATTTCACATCCTAACTTCAATTCCACCAATCAAACATTAATTTCCAGTATATTATATAAAATATTGAACAATTACACAACAATCCAAAACTTTTCCAAAAATATCAATTTGGTCCCCCAACTTTTAAAAAATTATAAAATGGTCCCCAATTTTTTTCTAAGGCTTGTAGAATACTTCCTACATCATTTCTTGCCCCAAAATAAATTTTCCATAATTTTTATCATCCTCTATAGTCAAGGTTGAATGCTTTGTATGTTCAAAATTAGGGTTTTCATGATTTTACTCGATTTTTATTCGATTCAAGCATGAAATCAACTTCGATTCAACCTTATAAAATCTCTACAATCAGACCCCCAACTTAATTTCATCAAAACACATCTTTCCCCTAAAGCAGGGTTTGGTTGAAACTTTATTTGTTCATATAACCATGTATAAGTAATTTTAATCATCAATCATGCTTGGAAATGATTCTACCACCTCCAAAACGTCAAAATCTTTCATCAATTCCATAAACCCTAATGTGAAAATAAACCCTATAATTTGAGATCTTTGAATACAAATCAAATTAGCAAGCAATAATGGTACCAAATGATAGCATTTTTCGAATAGAACAATTTTCTATTTCATGGCATGATCCAAAAACCATAGGAAATTGCTCAAAAATGGAAAATAAATTTTCTTTTACCTTAGTATGAAGGAGCATGAAATGTTGGATGAAAAATGGCCTGGTTTCATGAAATTTTGGTTAATTTCATGTTAATTTAGCCTTTATTTAAGCTTAAATGAATAAAAATATTCATTTAATAAAAAATATCCATTTTACCCTTAATGAAACTTGATATTTACCTTAATACCAAGCCACATAAACCTTATCATCTTCCAAAGTTAAAGATGGAAAAAATATTTTGCCCTTTACGCCTTTTCCCATGGCATTTTTCAAAAAGTTCAATCTTGCCATTTTTCATCAAACGATCCAAATTTAACATAGAAATAAATTCTCAAATCCAATGTTCCATATTATTTTCCATCATTATAAAATGTGGAAATAATATTTTTAATCATAATTCATCATCCTTCAATTTTTTTAAAAATTTCTATTCCATTCGATTTATCAAATTTTTACCAGACTTTGACATTTTATAGTTTTTAACACAATTTCCAGATCAAAAATATGATTTCAATAAAACCCTAGTTTCAAGAGTAAACTATTCATTTATGGTATAAAAATTCTTTTTGGGAAAATTACCACTTATGACCTGAATTTCCCCCAAATTTTCTAGTCATGCAATTTTTGAAAATTACATTTTAGTCACTAAAATTCCACTGTTTGGTTAAATCTGAAAAATTACACTGTTCTGAGTCAAATTTCTTTGATATAAAATATGGAAATAATATTTCCAACTATTTTCTAACATCCTTCAAATTTTCATAAAATTCTGGTTCAATCCAATTATCCGATTTCAATAACAAACTTTATCGCTTGATAGCTTTTAACACAAATCCCGTACCGAAAATATGATTCCATAAAAATCATTGTTTTAGGACAAAATATTCATTTATGAGCTAAAATCTATAACTTTTCAAAATTACATTTTTGGTTCCTGAACTTTTACAAAGTTTAAACTTTAGCTCAAACTTTCAAAACTTACATTTTAGTCACTAGTCAAAATTTAGGTAATACAATGTTCAATAAAAAATATTATATTTTTTATAATATTTTAGATTGTGCTCGTTCTATTAACCTTAAATTAAGAAAACAACAGTAAATGAAAAGATTAGGTTTAATATCAAAATAAGTGTCCAAACTATACCTAAATTCTCGAATAGGTACCTAAACTATTTTTTGACCCATCTAGGTGCCTAATGTTACAAACGTTAACCATTTAAGTGTCCAGATCATCAACGACATTATTTTCCATGTTAAGTGACACTTGTCACAATCTGGTGATTTTTAAAAATTTTATTTAAAATTAAAAAATTAAAATATATATATATATATATATATATATTTAAAAGAAAAATATAAACATTTTGAAATAATCCCTAAAACTTTGAAAACTTCTTTTCAACCCCTAAACCCACATCGACCATCACCCTTTGCCGTCAATGAAGCTCCACCCGACCTCATCTCCCCCGACAACCCAAACCCCCATGAAATCATGATCAATCAACATCAAATTGATGTTTTGTACCCCATAAACCCTAGGATGAAAATCGAGATCTTGACGACAACTACGATGTTGTATGACTAAGAGGATGGTATGAACTACGTTGTTGGCAGTGATCGTGGTCGAAAAGAGGGGCGGCGACGGGTTAAGGAGGATTTGAGAATTTTAGGTATTTTGGTGTTTTTTATAATTTAAGAAAAATTAGGGTTTTTCAATAAATATAATAATATTTTTTAAATAAATTTCAAAATACCATATTGTGACACATGTCACTTAACTAGAGAAATTCACGCCTTCGACGGTCTGAACACATAAATGGGTAACATTTGTAACATTAGATACTTGAATGGGTAAAAAATAATTTAATTAATTTATTCTAGAATTTAAGTATAATTTATACTAATTTTTTCTATTAAGCCAAAACATGGAATGGTCTTAGGAGGAGTGGCTAGACAGATTGACCACCCTAACATCGCGGAGTCTACGAAAGTGTGTGCTTTTACACAGAGAATCAACTTTGCGGTTGAGAATGGATGGTGTGATGTCATCATTGAAGGTGATTTTATTTCTGTGGTTAATAGACTGTCTAACAAAAATCAGAACAAGAACCATGATCTCTCTACTATCGGATTGTTGTTCAATGAGACCCGCACCCTTTTCGATGATAATACTTCCTCTAAAGTTCACTATATTTGTAGAGATGCCAATAGAGCGACTTAAAAAACCCGCTTTTGGAATATAATCCCTTCATTTCCTTAAAAAAGAAAAAGTAAAAGAAAAGAAGAGTATTTCCAAATGACGGAGAATCTAGTCTTAACAGACAAAAACCCATGACGCCAAGCAAACTTAAACTAAAGCCAACCGTAACCTAAAGTAGTCCCCACTCTTGTCATCTTCTTTCCCTTTCTGTCTTTTTATGTTTGGCTCTAGATGGAGCCTGTAACATCAAAATTAATGCTTGCAGCATATATAAACTCTGGTTCTCAGTTGAATTTTCCCTTTTTGTCTTGAACAAATCTAAGATCGGAAGACCCTTTTGTCTGAAATACAGTTTCAACATGGTTGGTATTTTTCCTGGATTCTCTGTTGGGAAGGCTGGCCATCGACGATCCCAGAGTTCTCTTGTAAGATTTTTTTTTTCTACAAGGGTTTGCTTGAATGGAATCAGGAACATGTAGATCTAAAGATCAATTTATATGTTTTTTTGGGTTTTCTTTTGTTTGATCAGTTAATTATTATTTGGATTGATATATGTTGGAATTGGTTGATGTACTTCAAGATGTCGATTTTAATATCAATTTGTGATCCGACTTTTTCTTTTGTTGTGATACTTGTTTGAGAGTTTTTGTATCCCAGTATGTCATTTACTTGCCTTAAATTTGGGATTCATTTGATGACTACGATGATTCAAACCCAGAAATTACTAATATAAGCTAAACCCAGATTTTCCTGATTTTTAATCTGTCGTGTTTGAGTTGTGGCACATACACGAGCACGGCTAATGAGTTACTAATTGTGGTTCAGGTGGAAAGGGAAGCCGTGCCTCCAAATCCGGATGTTATTGCCCCAGCTGCGGTTACTGCTACGGCTCATGGTATCGAAGTAATGGCTGAGTTCAAACCAGTTGAACATCCGATCGAACCTTTGGACAACGACCGGCCGATCCAATGCCCGCTGCCGGAGCCTTCGATTCTAAATGTAATCTTCAGGAACTCATCCTTTGTTGTTCGGTTTGAGTTCGTGTTCTTTATATTGCACTAGTTCAAGAAAAAGAAGAGTTAGGAGATAATCAAGTTTTCATTCCCAATCCAATCAAACATGGCTCGAGTACCTGTTAGCATAGCTTGTCAAGGTTATGTGGTAAAGTGACCATATAAGAGTTCTCATGAGCTTGTCATTGATTGTGCATATATTCTTTGCGTTACATGTGCTGTGAAATCAGGATGGAAGAATATGGAAAGAGCGAGTATCGGCTACGGCTAGCATACGACGGAGAGCTGATTTGCCGGTAACGAAGGAGGGAGGCACCCTTCCATCCGAGACCAAAGCTACTACCGGAACCAAACCCCGGCCGACCTTGAATCGCATGATATTACCATCGGTAAGCGCCCCAGAACATGATTTATTAAATCTCCTCAAAGAATGCAGTGCATCTGGGATCTAAGCCCTGCTATCAAACGGAACACACTTCACCTTCATTCCAATAATTTGCCCATCGTCTATAAATTCCAACCTGTATTTTGATTTTTGCCACCTATTTGGTTGAATATATTTTACACCACGGAAACGGAAATGAAAATGTTACCCTCACATCACTTGTATATGTTGTAATAAATCACATCTGATTTCCGATCCATCTGTTACATTTTTGCTTCTAATATTATTGTTTGTAGTACATAAATAAAAAAATCAAATTATCAATGAAATAATACAAAATAATTATTTAAATTACATAAATATACGACTACTGAAACATCCCTTAAACAAGGGATACTATTGAACTTATAGTTGTAAATGAGATGAGATAGAGTGCAAGAGTTCGTTTTGGTCAATACTCGATTCAAATGAATTCAATTCTTAACAACATGAAGGAAGTTACTTAATAACTAACTCAAATGTTTCATGAGCAACTTGAAAAAACGATATGCTAAAATTTTATTTTTTAAAACTAAATTTATTATTAATATTATTATTTATGTTGTACTTTTTTATAGTATAATATTTTTCTGTACTTAAGTTCAGATTAGCTCGAGTTTAAGCTTCAATCAAGTTAAGTTTAAGAATATTGAGTTTAATTTTTTTTGAGCTCGAGCTTAAGTTGAGTTTTAATTTTTAATTTCAAATTTGAATCAAATTTGATAGTTTTAAGCTCGTTAGTTTTTTAGTCAAATTTTAATTTTAAACTTTTCAAGTCAAATTCAATAATACTCGAACTTGATTTAAATCATTTATAACCTTAAATTTAGACTTGTACAACAAGGACCCGGGAAAGGCCCATTATGAACCAAACCCTTGGCAATTTTGGCTTAATACAGCATACGGGCTAATTATTTAGCCTAATATGACATCATATTTTTTATTTTGGGAATTACGATATTTGCTACAGTGACTTAGAATTTATCATGTCGAAATGATGAATTTTAATAAAATATAATTTTTTATAAGAATTTGTATTATAGTCTAAAAAAATATAATAATTTTTTTTTAAAACTCATCACTTTAACGTGATAAGTTTAAATAAATAATTATTTTAGTAGGGACAAGATCCAATGTACTATAGCATTTATAGTAGATTACAAAATAAAATCTGAGGTGTTCTACTAGGCCAAATAATTTTGGCACACTCTCAATTGGGGCAAAAAAAACCCCAAATCTTACATGAAGCTACCCATATAGCCCTTTTATCCCGGGACGATTCTCGGGTTCCATTAATTCTCTTCTTTGAGCGCAATACAGGGATAACATCACTTTTTCAGAGTTCGTATATTAATTATTAAGTAATATACGAAAACCAAAATTGATAGGGGAAAAAACTCTTTAGGCTTCAGCTTATTTTTGGTTGCTTCGACTGTGTAGGGTATTCGGGATCGATGGCGGCCTTGCAATACCTGGAATCTCTTCGAAATGAGCATCCAGAGCTAGCCGACTGGTATAGTTCCCTCTCAGATCTGTACCAGAAGAAGCTTTGGCATCAGCTGACTCTCAAGCTTTAACAGTTCGTTGCTCTCACCATCTTTCAGGTTTCCATGCCTTTATCTCTACTCGTTCCGTTTCTGGTTTGCGGTTTGTAGATCCTTCTATATTGAAGTTTTTTGAATGGAGTTTTTCTTTTAATTGAGTTTGACCAGTTAGGAATCCTTTTCTTTTTCCTTTTTAGAACTGAGGTTCAGTTTGGATCATTTTCTTTCTTTAGCTGTTTTATTTTGAAATTGAAAAGAGATAAAAAGAAATGGTTATCACTCTGATGTTCAATAACTCGATAATTGGGGATTATAGTTTCAGTTGATTTTTTCCTTATACGCGTTGGCTGTAATATTTTCTTGTCATAGAAGAGTTATGGAATGGAATTGTTGTTGAATTGTAATTTTTTTAGAGGAAATCTCCTGGTCTGCATGAACTGCAATGCAGGAAGTTAGTTTCTAAACCTTTGATTTGTTTACTTCCAGAGAATTGCTTTCTTAATTGTAGAATGGAAAGTGAGAGGTTCTAGCATATGTTATCAGGGATGGACCAAGGGGGTGTGGTCGCACCAGGGTTTCAAAAAACGTGATTTCGTCCGCGATATAGTGGTTTCGTCGCCGTCTGAGTTACCCGCTACACCCGCAATAGCTCCCAATAGCGGCCGCAATAGCTCCCAATAGCGGCCGCATAGCTCCCAATAGCGGTCGTAATAGCGCCCGCGACGTCCATAATCACGGTAAACCCGAAATGATCGAAAACGCGACCGCGATTTGAAACCCTAGTCACACCCCTTAGAAATTTCAAATTCCTCTATAGTTTAAATATTTTCTTCTTATTTTCTATTAATAATCTAATCTCGCACCCTTAGATTTTATATTTCACACTCCCTAGAATTTGTGATTAAATTAAAGATTTAGACTAAATTTAGATGAAATTAGAAGTGAATTTGGGATTAAATTGAATAAAAAAACATGAGAATTGTCTAGTGGAGAAAGTCCTCGACAGTTGTTCAACGTAAGTCCGGGACGGAAGATGATACGAGGAAGGATCTTTATGAAGTTGAAGGCATTATAGCTGAAGAAAAACTTCATGTGTTGAGCAATTGTCTAGTGGGGTGGTGCAAGGAGTTTATTAAAATCGGTCATCTCGCTTAACAAATGCATACGAAGGGCTCTCTGGCTTCTCCTTAATGAGAGCTGCTGGAAATGCGGTTTTAATGGTTTTCGAAGACTCTGCTTCAATGAGAAGTGTGAAGAACGATAAATCAGAGAATCGAAGCTTGGTCAGAGAGTTTAGTAATAGAGTGTCGTCGAATATGGTTAGTTTGCGAGGGTGTTCCTTTTCACTCATGGAATTGGGATACTTTTAAGAACATTGCTGATAAGTGGGGTCATTTACTAGCTATCGACGAAACCTGTCAATCACCATCATCCTTTGATCGGTCAAAAATTCAAGTCCTCACAAAGGCTGAGGCGAGAATTGATGCGACGATGGAATTGAAGGTTGGTGACAACTCCTTCAAGATCATGGTGCATAAGATAGAACCTTCATTCAAACAAAACTCTTGGTCTCCTGAAGAAGACGAATCTCAGTAGATCTCGTCTCTCCATTTGTGGCTTTGATTTAGCTGATATGGTTGAAGGTGTTACTTTCCTTTTGTATTATGTTCTTTTGCGTCGTTTTTGATTCTATTGTGGAGGTGTAATTAGATTTAAGGTGATTCGACTTTGGCTTTGGATGAGGATTTTAGAGTTTAAGGTGTTTGTTGTAATGGTGTATATCACCATAGGATATTTTTCCGTGTTTTATTTTGTATTGGGTATTATTATTAATAAATTATGAGGTACTCTTTTCTTTCTTCCAATGTTCGTTAACATACTTCTAAGTATGTGAACGAATACTAAGGAGTTTTTAATGAGACCTCCAACTTCTATAAAAAAAAACATGAGAATTGAGTGTGCAAAATAATAGGACTTTTTTAGAAAAACGCATAAAAATGAGGGATTTATGAAACAATTTCCCCTTTCAAAATACAATCAAATGCAAACTGCACTTGGGTTTTCACGATAAAAGAAAAATCATTTGACCTATATTTTGCCCCAATTTTCGTCAAATTTCTTGTTTTTTCTTGATTGCTTCTTAAATTTCAAACATCAAAGAATCAAATCTTACTTTCTTTCTTGAGAATTATTCTTGAGAGCATCACGAAATTACCCCCCAAATTCCATTTTTCATCTTTCTCATGGACTAGCTTTCCTTGATTTTTCAATTTCAATTCGAGAAAGTTCAAAATTGAGGTAAGAAACTTGTTTCTTGATGTATTTTGAAGTTATTTGAAGCTTTAAAATTCTATTTTCTTTTATATTTTCAAATGTGTATGTTATCTTCAACCTTAAGTTTAATTTAGGAGCTTCCGTGGTGAAATCTTAGTTTCATTAATTTATTGATTTTAGAACTTCATAAGTTATCTTCTATGTTCAATAAGAGATTTATGACCCATTCTTAACTTAAAATCATCATATTGATAATCAATTTTGAAAATTCTTTCTTAACAATTCTTGACTTTGGATTAGTATGAACTTTAGGAACTAGGGTTACTAGGTAGAGTATTCTTTCTAAATTAGTACTTATGATCTAATGATAATAGTAGAATGCTTAAATGAGGTTTAGAAGGTTACTAGGTAGAGTATTCTTTCTAAATTAGTACTTATGATCTAATGATAATAGTAGAATGCTTAAATGAGGTTTAGAATGTTCAAATTGAGATTTAGCCAAAAAAAAAAGCTTTAATTGAGATAGTTTAACTGTTAAGAGAAAACATGTAGATTAAATATTCTTATAATTTGAATATTACAATATAATTGTCGAGATAATAATGAGTGGAATATGATTTTTTTTCAAGAAACGGAGAAGTGAAGAACCTCTAAAGCTCAATATGGGTAATCGGAAAATTGATTCCTTTTTTTTAAAAGAAAGGGATCTTCCGAGAGTAATATTGGTTCTTCTCATATTGAAAATTTGGTTGATCAAAAGGAGCCCGAACTTAATAGTAATTATCCTCATATTAGTGAGAGCTCTCCAAATCCAAGTTCGGTACCTATTAATTCTCCGATGATAGATAGTCGTCCTAGTAAAGCTACAAGAGTTGAGCAAGAAACCTTTGATGCATCCACTATTGAGCGTGATCCCGGAATACGAAATTCTATTTGGGATTTTCCTCTAAATCAACAAGGTGAAGTTCGAAGAGCGTATATCGGAAAAGGTCCTTATTAACCCATTCCGTCTAATGATCCGAAATATGTTGATAAGTATGGACACCGATTTTTGAATTCATGGTATAAGTTTTTTCCCAATTGGTTGGAATATTCACCAACCAAGTATGCGGCTTATTGTCTTCCATGTTTTCTCTTTAATAGGCCTTTCTAACATATAAAACTCTAGTATATTGGTGCAAATTGTAAATCGGTTTTTTTTTTTGAGGAACAGAAAAGAGGAGAATGAGGAAGAATGTTATTTGATGTGCATAATTCTTTTATTAGTTACTATAGTCGTTATTTTATATTAGCTTATGTCATTATAATTTTACTAAATATAAAAGTTCGCACCCCCTGACGTAAA